TGGCAAGAGGTGTATTTATTCTTTCCTTCTCATTTCTGCTATGCCACTGCAGGATATGGTGCCAAGCAGGCACCCCCAAGAACCGATGAGTTCTCATATTCTGGCATACATAAATAGCGGGCTGTGACTGTGGCCTGTTATGTGCCTGGCTGACATCACAAAGAGATTATAATAAAAGACAAAGCTCCTGTCATGGAGATACAGCAAATCCTAGGATTCCTTGCCTTTGAAGGACTGCTCTGAATCAAACGGATCTGTAAAGGAATACAGCTCCCACTCTGCAAAGCCATTAAAATGATTATGGTGTAAGAAAATAAGAAAAGTTTCTTTCTTTCTGTGAATTCTATGTCAATATCACATGTTTCAACAGAGCTACAGCCCAGCACGTCTTCCTACTCCAACCCAAATAAAACTGCAACATTCCCCTGGTACAGATGGAAGGCACTGAATTTGTCTGCCTTCTTGGGCAGGCGTCTAGTGGGAAAAGCTTTTAGCAGGTCTCTGCTGGAAAGTCCTCCTGCCATTTCTCCAAGTGAAACCAACTGCACTCACAAAAGCGGATTTAATAGTTTAACGGCTTATACTTAGGAACTTTTCAAGTACAAAAAAAAAAAAAGCTGAAAAAGGTTTTGCCTCTAGCCAACATAAATTAAGACATTTTATCCATCTAAGTTTATAATATAGATTTTAACATGTCTGTTAAAACATGGCCACTCTAAAGCTCTAAAGCATAAGTTTGCACCATGCTATTCCGTTGGCCGTCAGATTTGATCAAATTTGTGCTAACTGCTATCAGGCTACAAATACATCAGCATTACATGTAGAAATGTGTGGGAAAAATTTAATTGTTGTGATCTGGCACACCTTCCTGACAGCTTAAAGGAAAATAGGATTGTTTTTTTCATTAGACTATTTAGGATTTTTTTTCAAAATGAACTTTTTGCCTAGTTTTTGTTGTCTTAGGGATTCTATCAGTAAATTTTTTGAGGATCTCTAAACTGTTAGTGCATTTATATCTACTTCACCAGGAATGTTATAGGTGAAATGTCACCTTATTCCACAAATGGGAGTAAAGAGATAGAGATATTAAGTGGGTTACTGGAGATCACCCAGTAAAACTGTAGGAAAACAAGGTGTGGAGATAAGAGGTCTTCAGACCCACTCCAGTTCCTGGACTTTCCATCCTTTTTTCTAATGATGCAAATAGACACTTCGGCACCTGTGCAAAAGTAACGTCGTATGTCCACGTGAGTACATAGTTCATTAATAAACCCTGAATCTTTTCTCAGGAGATAGAATTTCATGTATATTTAAAATGAAGCTTTGCTACTTTCTTTGCTGCAGAAAAAATTCACTCCATCAGAAAATAATCAGCATCACTGAAAGAGATATGCACAAATACTGTAACTATTCTTGCCTGTGGGTAGAAAGAGGTTTACTTTTCACTTTCTCTGAAGATTTTATGTCAGTGAAGACATGGCAATACATTTTCTCTTCACCACCAAAGATTTGCTCTGTGAAATTACTCTGCTGTTATTTTAATGCTTTCTATCCATTCTCTGAAGTGAGTCACTGTTTTAACAAGTTTAATTAATTTCCTGTGTATATTACTGAATAAGAGTGTATCAGGAGTCACCATTTGAAAGGCAATCCTTCACTGCATCCTTCACTGCAAATGCAGCACTGGCTTTGAGCTTTCTGGAGACGGCTGCGGAGAGGGACTCTCTCAAAATGACAAAAAGTGGAATATTAAGAATGTCTTTTAACACAGTTAGGTAAGCGGTGTGCTTCTAGTTGGATTTTCAAGTTTATTACAAAGGTAGCAACATGAGAAATTCCCAATAGCAAAAAAAATTTTTTTGCTCATAGTCCTGTCATACCTGTAGCTTGTACGTTCAAAGAGGACCAAATACATTTCAGTGGTTATTAAAGAGCTGAGCGTCAGCCAGGTGTATACTTAAACTATCAAGATCTCCTTGTCACAGAACAGCCACACATCTGCTCACCTAAGGTACACAGAGAACTCTTTTCTGTTCTAGGTAATAACTAGCTGAGGAATTCTATGATAAAGAATTAGTGCTTGTTCTTCCAGAATACCCTATAATTGCCTATGTAAGCCATCAGATGTGCATGGGCAATTTTAGGCAGTGCTTAATATCTGTGGTTGTTATAGTTAGGTCAAGACTGTAATTTTTGCTTTTTTGCTTCACAGTGCTCTACTATTTCAACAAAGAAGCACTTCAATAAAGCACAGAAGACTTTCATGAATGAGTCTTGATCATGCAAAATTCTTCTTAATGCATCCCATACAAAATTCAAGATGAAAAATTCTACACAAGATTATGAGGTGCTTAAGTGACCATCCACACTCATGACTTTGACTCATGCATATATAAGACGTATATATATATATAAGCATATATAAGCTTACTTTGGACTAGGGAGCTCACCATGCTAACAGACACCATAAACTAGTTTACTCTTCTCAGGAAGCTCACCTGTTTGTAAAGAGAGCGTCCTGAGAAAGAAGAGGGAGGTATAAATATCCCTGATTTTCTTTGTTCTGTATGACTGTGAAAGGGAGCACAGGCCATAAAACCTGTGATGTGCTATGTTCAGTTACAATTTAGTCCTTTTGAGTCACACTCATGTAGTGCATACTGGTGTTGTAAGAGCAGGGAGGAAGAACAGAGGAAAAAAGTGTAAGCATGTGAAAATGAAAATAAATTTGCTGCTTTGTTCTTTCACCAAAGGTAAGGCAAAATAGGTTGGGGCAGATGAATGAAGGTACCAACCTCATATTTCATAACAGTGGCTTTACCTGCCTCATCTGCCAGTTTGATAAAAGGCAGGGAAGTAGAGATGTTAAGCCATACCACGTGAAATCGAGGGTATCCACCTCCACATCCATCTAAAAAGGATAACAGAACATGATTTATTTGTGAGCAGAAGAGTTAAGGACAAATCATAACTGATCATAGACCTGACAAGACAAGGATGGAAAAACGAGACATCAGAAATTGGCTGGGGAAAGGGTAGTAGGACATTTAGTACAGAGTTACATGGTGTAGGTTCAGTGCTTATGTTCAATTCTAAAAGGTATTTGGGGAGTTATCATGCACTGAATGAAGTGAAGATCCCAATGCTTTAGAGGAAGCAGAACTCAGATAACACAACAGTAGTACAGAAAGAGCTAGAAAGGGCTGCATGGCAGAAAAGGAGCAAACCTTCTATTTTTAAGTGAAGATCTGACAAATATCCATCATGGGATAGAGTCCAAACAGTCATCATATCAACATGAAGTATTTATGGCTTTAATCCGGTTGTGTGCCAAGCCATTTTCCACTAACAGTCCCATCTCGCTTTGTGGTACGGAAATTGTATCTTACTGTCAAAAGGGCAGGTCTAGCTCTCTGCATGTTTGCCTATCATCTCCGTTGTGTTGAGTCTAGAGAATACATAGCCATATGTTCAACTTCAGCAGACCTGACCTGATGGAAGGCAAACCCACCAAAAACAGCTAGCTTATATAATTACAAAGTGAAATGTTTTCCAGTCAGCTCACTGAGCCAGCTCACTTTGCAATTGCAAGATTAGAAGGAACAATGAAAGGAAGGGAGAAAATACATGTGGCTGGAGGAGCTGGGCTGCATCTGGTTTCAGCAGCCGCTTACAGTTATCCTGGATTGCATATAAAATCAAACTGAACATACACCGGTGACGGATTGCCGCAGCAGGTTAAAGACAGTGGACCATCAGCCTTTACCAGAAACTTTATTCCTACACAAACTCTAGTTCTGCACTGGGTTTTCCTGAACTATTCTGACTACCTAAGAAAGAGGTGTTTCACGGTTTCATATTCTTCATGGCATCATTGTTATCAGATAAGGTTTTTATTTTATTAGCCAGTATCAAGGTTTCTGCTGTTGCTACTAAATAAAACATATGTTCACATGCACATTTGGACATTATTTTCTTGCCTACCTCATTAGTTAACAGTGGTAAGAGCAAATTAGAGTTCCCAGCGTTGTTATTTCATCCATCTCAGAGTCACAGCACTGTTTCGAAACTGGGAAAAGCAGGATAGTTATTTTTTCATTTGCTAAAAGAGCTATGCTTGTTATGTTGTAAATAGCTCAACACAACTGCATATCTTAACTGCAGCTTTTCCCAAGGAGCTGTGAAAGGAATAAATAAGTACATTATTTGAGTTGCCCAAAGCAGGTTTTATGCTTCATACCCATGTTCTGTTCAGACAGTAACGGCCTTTTCCTCTGACTGTGCACACTGTAATAATGCAGAGAAATTAAGGTTGGAAGGGAGCCCTGGAAGTCTCTAGTCCAACCTATCAGTCAAAGCAAGACTAGCTTCAAAATTAGATTAGGTTGCTCACAAATATTGCTGGAACATTTCAGGATAGCAAGCATCCTAAATGACAGAGATAGCAAGTTAGGTCTGAAGAAGTGTGGAGCCCTGCTACGGGGATTTGATGGGCATATCCGGCAGCTGGTCTGTGCGTCCAGCTACTGGATAGCATAGGGAGTGCTCAGACACAATTTTCTGACTTACGGAAAAAGATATAATTAAAAAAAATACTGGAAGGACATAAATATATAAATGACAAAAAGAAAAGAGAAATTAATATGAGATATGACAATATAAAATGAGGAGAATTTTTAAGAACGAAATAGACAAAAGATTATCCAGAAGCAATAGCTACTAAGGCTAATGAAATTGTAAGGTTGTACTCTAGGGCGCTCTCATGACAAGGGCAACTGCAAAAACAAATTTGTCTATAGAGACAGACCAACTGTCACTATCACTGTTATTGCTGTTGTTGCCATGCAGATGTCAGCAGCATCACCATGAAGGACAAAGAAAAACAGTAGCGTGCTGAAGTGTCAAAGCTTTTCTTGTGGTTATACTGGGAAAGCGTCACACAGGGTGAGATAATTCTGTATGTTCAGAAGGATGAACCAGGTGAGCTCAAGTCCCTTTGTTATCTTCCATGATTTCATCATAGTGACACGAAAAGGAAGAAAATGAAGAACAAAAAGGGAAAGAATATGTAAAACACAAAAACAAACAATTTCTGGCAGGGTGAGATTTTTGCATGCCTGTGACAATGCCAGATTGCTTCTTTTGTGTCATATAGCAGAACTACACTTCAAGGACAGGTTTCAGTTTTCATCTTGATACTGGACTGCAGCAAGTTATGAAATTGCATCTACTTCAGGTGTTCTGAGATCAGCTGGCATGTAGAAGGAGCTGAAAGGAGGAAATGGGGTAGAAGTATCTCATAAAATGTCCTTCTTGGTTTATAGTCTACTCAAACCTGAAAAATAATAAAAGTTTTGCAGTATTAGTATGGACTTTTATTTAGCTGCTAAAATGAAACAATTACATGAAACTGTTATTTACCTGAAGTGTTGCACCAAAAGATTCTACTGGAAGTGTTTTTGTGCTTGTTCAAAGATGAACAGATCTCAGCTGATCACCTTTAGGCTATGTTAGAAATGTAATAACGTCAATACATGTCATATAGGAGAGTCACCAAATGAGACAGACATTTAGGCAAGCTGGCAACTTACTGCAGCAGGTGTTGGAAGCCAATTGAAGGTGTTGAAGGTATTGAAGCTAACGTTAGAAGATATTGAAGACGGTGCTAACTGATAACAGGTGCAAGATTTGTGGAATCACAGTACACCTTGAAGAAAAAAAGTTAAGAAGAAAAATAGCTACAGAGACAAAAAAAAAAAAGCTAAAAAAATAGCTACAAGACAAAAAACAGGTTCTTACATTGTTTAACTTCAAGCTGGTGTCCTTCTAGATCCCTCCTGCAAGTCTAACATACTGGTCAAGCATAACAAAAACTGCAAAAATATTTAAATGAATGGACTGTAGTTTTGGAACACGCTTTGAATTAGGAATCTGTTCACCTATCTTTTACTCACCTTGTCATTCCCTTAAGTGCCTATTTGAAGAAAGTTATGCCAGACCTGAGAGACAGTATGAAACAGACTTGAAAGTAGCGCTGCCACTTAAGTATCTGATTCCTGAGCAATAAGTTCAGGAAGTGGTTGCAAACAAGGTTCTCATAGGCCTGACTGATACAGGCTATTGCAAAAGTAATTCAGTGACAGTTCACTGAAATAATAAAGCACACTACATTGTTCAAAGTTTGTCCCTAATCAAACTTCATTGGTTTCAGCAGCATCAAAAGGTATTATATGTTCTCAGAAAATAAAACCCATGCTGCGTATTACCCAAGTAAATGGAAACAAATGTTACATGTTTAGGCAAATGAAGAAAAAGATTTTGCATATGGCAGAGTAATTGTAATAAAATGGGTCAGGTTTGTCTTTGAGATGGAAAAGGAAAAAGTCGCCCAGGTTTACCGAGTGTAAAAATATCATAAGCTCGTTAGGAGGCTATAGTTTCAGAAGAGCAGTTTTAATTTTTCTTGTACAATTCATCTTAGTTTTGTATAACATACATTTCCACAGCCCAGCCAAAAAGCCTTCTCAAAGTAGCACTTCCCAGTAAGTCTCAATCACACAGCATCCAGCCAGGAATCCGCAGCTGTCCATTTATACTCATGCTAGCCACCGGAAACAGTATGCTGAAGGGTTATCAAAGCTCACTCTCCTTTAAGCTTCTCAGTTCAGGAGTGAAATTCCTGTTGTGAAAACATGTGAGAGGATTTTAGGTCAGGAAGATTCGGAGACATAGACCCTGGTGCTAGAAAGACAGGAGCAGCTGTGCATCCCGCTCACATGCTGCCGCGACGTTGCTGGGCAGGCAGCGGCCGGCGTTGCAGTCTGTGTGCGCACCTAACACCCGCTCTAGGGCCATGACCGGAGGCGGCGCGCTGCCCTGGACCAGGGGTGAAACACTCTCCATGCGCCTGGGAGAGCTGCCCAGACGGACTGCTGACATAACGGCGTATGCAGTGTGACCCTTCCCCAACACAAGGCAGGCGGGGCAGTTAGGGGATAGCTTTGAATTTCTCCTGCCTATTCACTTTGTGGCCTAATAAAATGTAATCCTGACCCTGCCTACCTCCAGAAGAAAAAGCAGCAGCAAGGCAGGAGCTGTTCGGCAAAAAGCCTCTTTCCGTAGCACACTGCTCAGTCTATCGCAGCTCCTGGATTAGTGTGGTTACCCTAGCGTACCTTGCGAATAACTGCAAACCCAGTTTACCATTGCTTACTCCTGCTGCTTTCCTGGCAGCTTGTATTCACCTGGAATCCATGGACATGAAACATAATCACTGCAAAGAGAAAAGATCTGTTTAGTCTCCTGGCTTTTTCTCATTTGTCATTCTGCTAAAATGTCAGTTTAAAACTTTACACTGACAGATAAATGACCCACTTCAGCCAGGCTTGCTATACACTTTTTAGTTTTCTTTTTTGAACATCTAATTTTTAAAACTCTATAGGACTTCAGAGGCCTAAATATAGGATAAAGAAGGCAATATATGAGGAAACTGCTCATGTGTAGAGCATGACTGTGTTCATAAGCACAATGTAGTTGTGTGTAGTATCTGTCTATGCTACACTTGGTGGCTGCAAAGGACAGTTCTACTGACTACACAAGAGTGTCCCATTGCGTGAGGGATGCTTGACTGCCATCCTGTATCTAAAAGCACTCCTCTGCTTTGTTCTCTAAAAGTACTTTCACGCTTACCATTTAGTACTTGCCCAGAGCTTAAACATTACAGGACAATACTTCTGATGGGTTTTTCGATAAAGGCATACTTAGCAGAAGAGCTCTTTGATTTGAATAATCATCTCAAAGACTCTTTTCCTGATTAAAATGTGGAGTCTTGTTTTATACCAGCCTTTTCAGTTTAGGCTTTTTTTTAGTTACTTTCACAAATTCACCTTCTTGTTGTACAACACCTTCAGGTCCCATCCATTTTATTCTATACTGCTGGGCTCCTTATTTCAGCATCCCTCTTCAGAAATGTAATTGTCTTTAAGGACTACTTTAAGTACTTCAGGTCACTGAGTTGTGGCAAATCGAGCTCTCCTGAAGGTGACAGCTCTGCAAATTCAAAGAGCTCTGATAAGTCCACGTAAATTGCTTTTAAATGCAACTTCCACAGACATTACAAAATCTTCTGTTAAAACTTTTCCATCATTTTGTTTCCGAACATAGATTTCCTTCCTTTGTGTTCCAGTGACAATATCCAACTTTCAAATTCTTTTCCACGCTGCCTCTTCTTGCAAGCGGCTCCACTGTATTTCTGATCGTTATAAGCAGACTTCTGTTTCTTCCTCCCTGGTTCAACCCTGCTAAATGGTATGGCCTTTTATAATTCCTCTTCAAAAGCTACTGCCACTATGTGGAAACATGCAACGTACTATTCTCTCCAGATCCTTTGCTCTAAATCCACTTTGCTAACTCAGACCAGCACTGACTGGAATGAAATATCATCACTCCTGTCATCCAGCAGAACTTTACGTGAGGGAAAGCTTAAGTATGTCGCATCCAAAATTATGACAAAAATCAGCTGACAGAGAACTTGAGGAACACAACCCAGCATGACACAACGCCTGAGCAGTGTAAAGCAGCAACTGAGAGGCAATCCAGCACGGAGACTGCTGGGGCACACGGACACCTTCAGTCTTGCCCTCTGGCCATTGAGGTAGTGAGATGTCACTGTTCGTGAAGAAGGGTAGCACTGCTGCCAACCACAGCTCTCAGCTGCAACATGTTAGGTGCTTTGCTGTGCCTCATGCCTGGCTGGCTGGTTCCACCTGTTCGGGCAGAGCAGAGGCAAAGAGGCAAGGCCACACTGGTCCTGAAGACCGTGCAGCAACCTTCTGCTGAAAGGGGATCATCATAGTCACGTGATCTCCCCCTCTTTTCTTCTCTTGCTTCAAAGAGAAGGGTCCTACAGGCCAGCAGATGATTCAGGAATGACAGGTAAACAGCAAAATAGCTGCTATTTCAAATACGGAGGGGGAGAACTAAAAAAATGATTTTTTTTTTAAATTTGGAAAAATAGTATTAAGTTTTCCTTCTTCCTTTTTTGTTCCTCCCTTAGTGCAGTTTGTGGGCTGCAGTTTGTGGGCTGCAGATTTCCTTCTCCCTCAAGCTCCTTTTTTCTAAACTCAGAAGAAGTAATGTAGAAAACAAGTGCAAGTCCAGAGCTGTGGCAACAGCTGGATGCCAGAAGAGCAGCAACTAACATCACGACAGGCTTGGGTATATGAGGTAAAGTAGCAACAGCAATAACAGGGTAGCAAGATAAACAATTTCCGTTCGCCTACAATATTTCTCCCATCCCTTTCTATACTATTTCAAATCTAGATATTTAAATTTACTCTGAGATTTTTATTCTTTCCAATATTTAGTTGCACACTTACAGGCATGATTCTTTTTTTTTTTCCTGGTGCTTGCAGTTGGATGGGTAATAGCAAGAGAGATGTACTTATGTAAATGTCATAATCAGCAAGCAGGCTGCATGAAAACAAACATATTCTTATCCTTGTGCATGAAAGATCTCATTCATACATCAGGAGGCCCTTGGGGAATTGTCACCAAGGGACTATGCATTCAAAAGCTTTGCAGAGAAAGACCTGGGGATCCTGGTGGACAACAAGTTGAACATGAGCCAGCAATGCACCCTTGCGGCAAAGAAAGCGAGTGGTATCCTGGGCCGCATTAGGCGGAGCATTAGCAAGAGGCTGCAGGAGGTGATGCTCCCCCTGTACTCAGCCCTGGTGAGGCCTCACCTGGAGTGTTGCATCCGGTGCTGGGCTCCTAGTACAAGAGAGACACGGACCTGCTGAAGCAAGCCCAGCAAAGGGCCACAATCGTTCAGCTTGGAGAAGAGAAGGCTCAGGGAGGATCTTATCCATGTGCGGCCGCAGCTGATGGGAGGATCATCAGGAGGACAGGGTCAGACTCTTGGTGGTGGTGTGCAGCTGAGAGGGCTAGAGGCAACGGGCACAAGCTGAAATGCAGGAAATTCCCCTTGAACATAAGAAAGCACTTCTTTCCTGAGAGAGCGGGAACATAAGAAAGCACTTCTTTCCTGAGAGAGCGGTTGAAGAGTGGAACAGATTGTCCAGAGAGGTTGTGGAGTCTCCCTCCTTGGGGATATTCCAGACCTGAGAGGACATGGTCCTTGGCAACCTGCTCGAACTGACCATGCCTGGGCCAGGTGATCTGGAGGTCCCTACCAACCCCAGCTATTCTGTGATTCTGTGGAAATGCTGCTGCCATAGGAGAAATGCAATTACATTAGAACACTTTCCAGTAAAGTTTTGGAGCCCAAATTGCAATCGCTTTCTTAAAAGAAAGTTATCTTTGTTTTTCCTTTTCCAAATCACACTGAAGACTGTTTTCCACCCCACCTCACTGTTTTCCACCCCACCTCAGCCTTCCCTCTTGTATAACTTTGACCCTTCAACTCTTAGAGTTTGAAACCTAAGTCTGAATCTCCTCTTTTAGTCCACCAGAAATAATATACATTTTGCTTTATACCAGCAAATAAGGGCTGCAAATTTCTCTTGCAACTGAGAACATATAATGGGATTGTTAACTGTTAATGATAACCCCTAAAAGGGTTACTAGAGCTAATGTGTTTCAAAAGCCCTGGCAAAATAATAAATAAATTAAAGCACAGTGCCATTGAGCAATTAGCAAATGTGCTAAGTCAACTTGCTAAATAATCTTCAGTA